TAGACATATTTTGACAGAATAATGAAATTCAAAACTGAAATTTCGAAAAATCGTAGAAAATTCAGAAATTTTACTAGAAACTTAAAAAATGGGCTAAATGATAGAATAAGGTTTCAGCTTCATAATGATATCAACTGTTTTGTTTTGCACTTCGTAGTTGTCGAGCTTTTAGAAAAAAATCAAAACACAGTATTTTTTGTTTTGTAATCCGGATGAAACTCGCTCAAGTTTCAAGACCAAGGTCTATTTTAATGAGAATTTACATAATACAATATTACAAACGTATGTTTTATGAGGCATTAAAATGATACCTAAGGCCTTGCCTTTTTCATGGATTAAAAGTTTATTCTTGATTTTGTGTTTCTCTCTCCTTTATATCTTCTGAAGCAAGATGACCCCGTGAATTAAAAGACCGATCTATATGACAGGAAATGGACCTCCGTCATGATTCTTTATGATTCTTTATATTATTCATCATACTTCCGACTGAGACAGACATGGATTATAGCTTTGCGGGTGCTCTGCGGGTATCCCGATTGATCTCGAGCCGCGTTTCCATTCCTTTTAAATATACAATTCCTTGTTAAGACATACAATCATGATAAAATATATTTACATAAGTTTTGTCCATGAAATTGAAAAGAAATCGTCATGGGATATAAGTGTCAGATCAAAGTTTGATTTTTGACAAAAAGATGTGCAGATTAGAGATAAAATTATGTTAAATTTAAAACATGCATGTCATTTAATATATTATGTTCTTGTTTGCCTCTGTTGTAAGTTGACACATGGTCTCTATTAGGTCAATCAGATAAAAACATTGTGAATTCCAAAATTTAGTAGTTAATGTTGGTATGAGTTGACTTTTAGTGGTACGAATTGAAATGGTACCGGAGTTTGCATTAGTATGAAATGACTTGCTTTCCTGGTCAATTTAAATTCTACAGTACAAAAGTTATGAGACACAAATCAGACAAAGGGTTACTATTACAGGGATCAAAGGTGAGGTCTGATTGACCTTTCTTTAGTAAATGTAAAGGCTCAGAAATAAAAAAGTTCTGGTTTAAAAAAAATATCATAAACATTGAAATGTCAAAGTCTGACCACAGGCACTTGTTTCTATGCATGGGAAGATCCACTATCATCTTATATGTTGAGCTCCTAAATATACATTGATACTGGATCTTCCCATGGATAGAAACAAGTGAATGAGAGTCGGACACTGGCTTCATGTCATGATCATGATGATGTGGACCGAATTCTTCTGTCCGCATATATTTCCCAATTCACATTTGCTTTTTATTGATTTTCGCTGATTTTATACATTTTCAGACATCCGTACCTATATACAGTAATATATAAACAGTTTTTCTACATTTCCGTGTGCCTTACTATGATCAACGATCTTTCTGAGTCTAAAATCCATATCACATTCTACTTTCATTCTCGGCAAATTTGTTGAAAGGGTCTCACTAATTAGAGACAAGACGCGTCAAGAAGCGACAAGAAGCATCAAGAAGTACGTAGTGCTACCAAATATAACATTATTTTAAACCTTATAAAACAGAAAATGATCAACTGTAATTAATTGACTTTTCTCTAAATGTATTGTTTTAATAGTATATAAACTTTCTTGTCGCTAAATGTGTCTTCTTGTCGCTAACATTTTTCTTCTTGTCGCTTCGGTTGTTTCTACAATTCTTCTTGTCTCTAATTAGTGAGACCGTCTTGAAAAATATCGACTAATCAACGTCGATTTCCGGTTTATTTCATTCATAAATAACAACAACAGTATAATTTAACAAGGTCAGTTATGTGATAAACGGAATAATATAAAAGGAATTAAAATGTGCATATACATTTAATTGAAATCAATTAAAAAATCACAATCATCTCAAACAAAAAGAATATCATAATAAACAATAATTACCTTTCTATCATCAGAATCCTCCAAATTTAAAAGATACGTTTCGTCTTCTAAGTTAAAATTACCGCCAACTTAGACTACTGTAATTCCGTGTTGCCGCCAAACAATGTTCCTACGCCTTTTGCCATTTGGGAAATGTAAACGACTTGTATTTAGAGATTTTCGGCGATTAAATATTTCATACAATTGTTCTTTGACATCTTAACCAAAAGCACACGGGATAATAAACAATGTGCGAATTTCTATAGAGCACTATTTCCTATGTGTAACGTCAATTATTTTACGTTGTTCGACGATTAATTAAGGTTATTCTGGTCATATTTTTTGTATTCCAGAATTAAAAGTATGAAAAAAGTGTCCAATTAGTTATAAATAACCTATTAGCCTGCTAGATAACAACAATGGCACCTATTTCAGTATTCTTTGAGAAAAAAGCAAATCTAGGGTGCTAGCATATGGCAGCTTAACTGCCAAAAAAACAGTAAAATATCGTTTCATCTCGGCCACCTGTACGAAATGTGACGCCTGTAAATGACACGGAAACCAGGCGTAGAAATCATACTTTATCCTGGCGTCATTGCAGTGTTTAAGGAATGCATGTCTATGCGTCAACCAGGCGTAAACCAGGCGGAAACCAAGCGTAACTGAGGCGGAAACCAAGCGTAAAATTAGGCGTAATATTTAAATGAGTACGCCTGTTAGACTGAAAACCAGGCGTAATATGCAAATGAGTACGCCTGGTCAATAAATAAACCAGGCGTAATATCCTTACATATACTAAACTTAATTTAAATCAGTTTTTTCACTTTTTTCCTACGCCTGTTAGTGCTACAAATTTACGTTTCCTGCTCCATTACGCCTGGATCTGGACACGTAACTACCACTTACGCCTGGTTTACGCCAGATTTCCAGGCGTAATACGCCTTATAATTTCGTATGGGCTCTTGTAAGTGTTCTACAACTAATCTTTCAGTGCTTTAGACTAGGTCCTTAACTACAATCAAAGAACTTATCATTAACTTTTGTAATAAAACATGAAAATGGTCGAAATAACTATTTTTGAAGTGGTAAGAATTCTTTGGATGTTTTAGATAAATTACTTGCTTTTGATGGTCCTTTTGATATTGTTGACAGTTTTGACTTTTCAACTCTTTACACTACACTTCCACACAATCTTCTTATCAAGACAAAAGTTTTCCTATTTTATTAAATGGTCGTTTGGTAAATCTGAATTCAAGTATATTTGCTGCAACTCATTTAGAGCCTTCTTCTCTAATGGAAAAAGTAGATATGCTAGATATACTTACTGGAGGTGTGATGAGATGATTGAAGCTGTTAATTTTCTCCTTGATATGTATGTACGTTTCGGCAATAAAAATTATTGACAGGTTGTAGGTATTACTATGGGCAACAATTGTGCCCCCTTAATAGCAGGCTTGTTCTTGTACTGTTAAGAATCACAGTTTGTGACCAAATTCAGTATAGAACCGTCTAAATTGCATTTAATTGATAATTTCAACAACACTTACCGTTATCTTCATGATATTTTTTCCATTAAATAATTAAGAATTTTCTTAATATACTGCCGAAATTTACCTAAAGGAACTTACTTTAAATAAATCAAATATAAACGGTAATAAATGTCCTTTCCTAGATTTAGATATTTCAGTTTTACACGAGAAGCTCTACACCAAAATTTATGATATAAGGGATGATTTTTCGTTCCCTATTGTTAATTTTCCTTTTTTGGACAGTGATGTTCCTTTGACACCATCTTACGGTGTTTATATATCACAACTCGATCGCTATGCCTATGACTGTTGTGACGTTTTGGATTTCAATGAACGTAATTTATGTTACTGGTAAATTATTAACTCAGGGATTTCATTACCACAAATTACTCAAAACCTTTACTAAATTCTTCCATAGGTACAAAGATTTGGTTTGGAAGTTTGGTTGTTCCTGTAGAAAACTTATTTCAAACGGGAATGCACATTCCAATGTTTACGGAGATGTTGTTACCGAGCCCCGAAATTTAATTGAAGATCCGGGTAAACTTATCGATCCTTTAAATAAACTTATTCTGAAAGGTTACCAATTCAACACTGTAATTAGATCTTTAAGATATTGTTTTTTATTGGTATTAATATTGAGTTTGTTATCAGTAAACTAAAATCAAAGTAAATATTATTTTTATAAACATATGCACATTCATGGCTCTACAATCTGTAGATACCTGTATCTTGGTATTGCATTAGGTAATGTTTTTCTCTGACTGTTTATGACGTCTTTACACTAAATCCATAGGATGTTGGATGTGTATTGATTGATACTTTAGTCTAAGATGCAGGATTTTTTTATTAGTTGTTATTGGCTTTGAAATAGCTGTCAGTAACTGTGGGAACTCTCAGATCTGTACTAGGTGTCATTTTTGTTGTGTGTATGTATAAGTACCCTGCCATGTCCGGTCTGTGTTTTTGTTAGATGTATTTCTGCTTTGTATCGATCTGATGAGTTAAGCCCTTTTCAACTAATTTTTATAGTTTGTTCTTATGTTGTATTATTAATCACTGTCACATGTCAGGAGCCTGTAATTCAGTGGTTGTTGTTTGTTGCTGTATATCAGATTTGTGTTTTGTTCATTTTTTTTGTACATAAATCAGGCTGTTAGTCTCCTCTATTGAATTTTTTTACATTTGTCATTTCATGGCCTTTTATGGCTGACTATGAGGTATGGGTTTTGCTCATTGTTGAAGGCCGTACTGTGACCTATAGCTGTTAATTTAAATGTCATTTGGTCTCTTGGAGAGCTGCCTCATTGGCAATCATACCACATTTTCTTATTTTTATATGTATAAACCTAATCACAGACAAGTACATTGTTGATCTTGCCAATACCCAAAACAGCATGACTAGGTCTCACCTTTGAGACTTCATTGAGGGAAGACAAAAACTGAAAAAAAACAAAACAGTCTGAAAAACTAGATATAACAAAAAATTGATCAACATAAACCCCATAAAAAATCATGGATGAAATCAAGTGCTGTAGAACTGTCAGCATAAGAATACTAAATCAGATATATATTTTTTTAATGTTTGTTATTAGGGCATATAACAGTGAATGATCATTTAAAGTTGATCAATTGAAGTTTGCCTTATAGGCAGAATGGCATAAAGCTATATTGTGGCAAGATAAAATTAAAAAACAATTCTATTATATAAATTATTTTTTTTAAACAAATCACTTTGTGACATAACATATTTACGAAATTGTACTACAATACTACATCAATCCTATACATTTAATGATTCATTATATGATATAATTCTTTTAAGTTGCTGCCAAAGATGAAAATTACTTTTTTTTTAATAATGCTAGTAAACATGCATCAATGAAATCTTTTTGAATGAATTTTTACAAAAATGATGTTATTAGAAAAAATTATAAATTCATGTCAAGATTTAGGGATGCTAAAAAACAAATCCTATTTGAACTTTATCATTATCTGTTATTTCCTTCAAATCAGGTCTTTTATTCAAAGGACAACATACATTTGTCATTCAGGGCCTTTTATAGCTGACTATGAGGTATGGGTTTTGCTAATTGTTGAAGGCCATACTGTGACCTTTAATTGTTAATCTATATGTCATATGGTCTCTTATGGAGAGTTGTCTCATTGGCAATCATACCACATTTTCTTATTTTTTTATGTATAAACCTAATCACAGACCAGTACATTGTTGATCTTGCAAATTCTCAAAACAGCATGCCTAGGTCTCACCTTTGAGACTTCATTGAGGGGAGGCAAAAATAGAAAAAAAAACAGTCTGAAAAACTAGATATACAAAAAAAAAAATTAACATAAACCCCATGAAAAATCATGGATGAAATCAAGTGCTGTAGAAATGTCAGCATAAGAATCATGTGAGAATATCAAATCAGATATATTTTTTTTTAATGTTTGTTATTAGGACATATAACAGTGAATGATCATTTAAAGTTGATCAATTGAAGTTTGCCTTATAGGCAGAATGGCAAAAAGCTATATTGTGGCAAGATAAAATGTAAAAAAAGTTCTTCTATTACATAAATAATTTTTTTTTTAAACAAATCACTTTGTGACATAACATATTTAAGAAATTGTACTACAAAACTACATCAATCCTATTAATTTAATGATTCATGATATGATATAATTATTTTAAATTGCTGCCAAATATGAAAATTACTTTTTATCAAATAATGCTAGTGAACATGCATCAATAAAATCTGTTGGAATGATTTTTTTTTACAAAAATAATGTTATTAGAAATCTTATTTGTACTTCCATCATTATTTGTTATTTCCTTCAAATCATGTCTTTCATTCAAAGCACACAATAACAGGGTGGGACATTCCAGCAATTTCTTCAATAAACTGTTGACACAGAGATATGTCTTGCCTGTCCACATAAAATTAAGAAAAAGACAATCTGATGGACAGCAACATTGTTTATTAATTCAAATTTGCTGGACCATGACCTAGGGGCAGGGCCTCAAAATAGTCATCAAACTGATATGTACTGATAGTAATGCAACTTCATATTAAATATCAATGATCTATCACAAGTAGTTCCTATCAAACTAACTTAAGCAGAAAACCTTATATTGAAAATTGCTAGTTCAGTAATTCAGTAAGTTGCTGGACCATGACCTTGGGGGCAGGGCATCGAAATAGTAATCAAACTGATATGTACTGATAGTAATGCAACTTTATATTAATATCAATGATCTATCTCAAGTAATTCAGATCAAACTAACTTAAGCAGAAAACTTAACAATTGTTGATGCCACCGCCACAGCCATTACCGGAATAGCAATCCATATGTCTCGCTTTCCGCGACTTTCATCGCAGGTGAGCGGAAAACTTTACTGGGTGGCTTCCACCAAGACCATGAGAACTGATAGCTATATAAAGATACATTTTTGCTTGGAGCATCATAAAAATGTAGAAACATGCACATATTGTATGGTGTAAAGCTATGACACTTCTGGTGTTGTCAACTTTGGGAATATAATTTCCAAATCTTTGTGACTGATCTCATCAATAATATATGGAACAAATTTCCAGTTTTTGTACTTTCTCAATTTATCACCTTCTTTACATAAAAATGCATCAATTTTTAAAAGAGGCACTTCTAAATCATGTATTAAAAATATCTTCCCCAACTTTTGTGGGCATTTTTTACAATAAATTATTGACTTTCTAATCATCTGATTTATTTTTTGTTCTTTAATATCCTCCTTTTTGACCCTATCCAAAAATTCCCTCTCTGCAGCCACATGATGATTTTGCTTATAAAGTTTTATGTTATCTCCATTTATTTCAGTCTCTTTACATGTTGCACACACAAGTTTGAACAAGCCTCTCTTTTTCTGATTCTGTAAATCTCTCAGTTTTTTTTCTTGATCTTCCTGGTGTTTTAAGTCATTTTTTTGCTCTGTTAATATCATTGCCCTTATTTCATCTTTTCCTTTCTGTTTCAATTCGTCAAGTGCTCTATGCATTACAGCAGCTTTTTCCATACTGACAAGGTCCCGTCTTAGAACAGATTGATCGCTTATGTAGATAGCCTGACCTCCTGCTTTCCTCGTACGACCTATAAAAAAATAATACCGACACTTAATCATTCATCCTATTTATTGCAATTAACATTTCAAACAGTTTATACCAATTTAAATGGAGCTTGTTTTAACAATCAAATTCATCTTATGTGTTTATGTCTGTAGTGTTTACTTACATTAAAGTATACAATTGAATGTCCTTGAACATATGAAATTTTAAGATTCTTTTTGACAGCAATATTAAATTTCCATATTTCTATAAGAAATTGTATACTAGAATTAACAGCAATTCAAGAAAATAATGATAGTCCAAGTTATATTGCTATGAATATTCAGCAAAACAGACAATAATATAACTTTTTTTATCTTTCATTGTAGTACAAGTGATATTTGCAAGGGAGATAATTAATAAATACTTGCATTTTGTTAACAAAAACTAAGCTTCCAAAAGCCATAAGAAACAAGAATGTGTCCATAGTACACGGATGCCCCACTCGCACTATCATTTTCTATGTTCAGTGGCCCGTGAAATTGGATCAAAACTCTAATTTGGCATTAAAATTAGAAAGATCATATCATAGGGAACATGTGTACTAAGTTTCAAGTTGATTGGACTTGAACATCATCAAAAACTACCTTGACCAAAAACTTTAACCTGACACGGGACAGACAGACGAACGAACGGACGGACAGATGAACGAACGGATGAACAGACCAAAAAACATAATGCCCATAAATGGGGCATAAAAATAGAGGTGGAAGATACCTAGGGGACATTTAAAACTCATAAGTCAAAGAAAAACTGACAAAGTTATGGCAAAAAATGTATAACAATGTCAAACTATTTTGTAATTTTTTTTATATACATGTATGTAGTATTAATAAAATTCCCAGATGTCCTCCATTTCATTCCAGCTACCTTTAATGTTAAATAATAAAATTGTACTTAAAACTATGCATTGACTGACCTCTCATTTGAATAATGTTGATTTCATTTCCTGAGTAATTATACTTCATTACAATATTACACTCTGGAACATCAATGCCCTCACTTCCAACTGAAGTAGCAACCAATAGCTTTATCTTGTGGCTTCTAAAGTCTTCCAATAACTCCTTCTTTTCAGTTTCAGACAGCCCTAAAATTAATTTGATGTTGTCAATCACAATATGTAAAAACACATGCTCCAATATTTTTAGTTATGACATATCATAATTTAATACACCATCCCTGGAATATTTTTCAATAATAGATGTGCTGCTTTACTACATCATACTGCTGTAAACTTCAAACAAATAATATGTTTATTTGTAAAAATCTACATTGTTTGATTCAATGTAGGCAAGTAAATGACAAGTTTTCTGTTTTTTTTAACCAATATATTGATAGTTTGCCTGTGTGGGACATGACATAAACACTATCAACATTCTTGGTTTTAGAAAAACTTGCATTTTCAGTCAAAGCAATATCCAAGATTTCTTAGATATAAAGTCGCATAAATTCTTGCTAAGTTTAGTTTTTGAGAAGGATGGGTGAACTTTTGAATTTTTGGACAGAGTGATGATGTATTCATGTTCGTCTGAAAAGATTCAGAGATACTACTTTGCTACAAAATTGCAAAATGTAACTTTAAAATTTGGACAAAGTGAAAATGTTTGTAATAGGCAGATTTCATTGGTGAATATCAATATTGAAATGAAACTAACATTGTATGCAGTCAGATAGCTGCAATGAGCTATTCATGCACTAATAAAGTGCATATCAATAGATGCAATAATAAGCAATTTCCTTGGATTAAACTAGGAATATGAGTTATAAGTTTTTTTTACTTCTGTAGTATTGCAACAAATATCTTATGGATTTCTTATGGATAACTGTAAATTCAGAAATTATTGCATGTGTTTATTATTGTGATTTTTGAAAAATTGGAAAAAATGCGAGATTAATTATTGCGATTTCAGGAAAACGTGAATAGAAATATATGTTTAGATATCATAATTTGAGGTCTTATTATTGCGATCCTCATGCAATCGCATTCTTCGCATTAATAAAAAACCTCGCAATAATTTCTGAATTTACAGTACTAATTTATGATTGTTTCTCAGCTTACCATCACTTGTTTCAGAAGATTTGGAGCCAATGAATGGTTTGACAGGTATTTCTAATCCCTCTAGTTTTTCATTAAGGTATTCTGCTAGGGACTTTGCAGTTGCCCTGGTCTGTACAAATATCATACCAAGCGATTCTTTGCCTGATTCACTATAGAGTTCTTGAAGTTTCTCCTCAATCAGACGAAGGTTTGGATTTGGTCTGATATTTGTCTGTTTTTTAAATGTTCTGATGAGGTCTGAAAATAAAGATGAACTTTCATCAGATTTTGGATTAACACATTCCATATTGGTAATTTCATTTGGAAATTCAAAGACTCCATTTAAATTAGATCAGGAAGAAAAATGGTTCTGGACCAAAAACAACTTAACACTCACAGCCCTGTATGATTCAATTTCCCAGCATTCAGATCAAATAACAAAATCTATACTTATGTAAACCGTCACCAGACTATAAATTGACATCTGTCAGCAGTTGTGAAATAACAAAAGAGGTTCAACCTATATAACATAGTTTTACAGATAATAGGCAAAAACAGGAAATAAGAAGTAAATAATTGTCATTTAAACCAACATTTTTGCCTTTTTTATAGATCTTGTATTACTGATCATTTTGCTGTTTAGAGTTTCTATCGTATATAGTTGAATAGACAAAGGCATTAAACTCCTCTTAGGGGTCAATTAACAATTTTGGCCATATTGATTTATTTGAAGATATTTAATATTTTGCTGAACATTTTTGCAATTTATCTCTATCTGTTATAGTTTCTGCAAAAAGCACAAAAATGGGTAAAAAATTGTCATTCAAGGTTATTACTTCTTTACCAGGTCAATTGAAAATCTCATCCATGTTGACCAATCTGTTGATCTTATCTTGCTGAAATATTTTGCCATTTACAATTTATCTCTATCTAGTAAAGTTTCTGAAAAAGAAAATGGGTAAAATTGTTTTCAAATGGGCAATAGCTCCTATATGCATGATAAGGGGCCAATTGATAATTAAGCCATGGTGACTTATTTTTAGCTTTTATTTTTTTATCAATTTTACCACATAAAGATCGTCTCTATCTGCTATGATTTCTACAAAGAGTGCAAAAAAAAGTCATCATTCAAGGGCAATAACTCATATAAGGGGTCATTTACTATTTCAAGTTTCTCTCTTCCTTTTTTAGTTTTCAAGATAATAACGCAAAGCTGATAAATTTGATGAAATGGATATTTGAGGGACAATCAACTTTTGAAAATTCTACAGGAGATAGACCCTTCTCTGCTGATAAAAGTTACCCTGTGTCAGTTTTATTCTTTGTTCTTTATCCATTTTTTTTTTAGCCAAAAAACTGTGAAATTTGCTAAATACTATCAGTTCAGGGACAAAAACTGGGTTGACTACCCACTTTGGAGTATAATTATCCCTGAACTGTCATTTTTTTTTAAATATCTATAGAAGATAAATCTTGACCTGCTGATCATTGTAACCCACTCAACTTTTGCTAACATTTGAGGAAGTAGTTTCAGTTAAAAACTTAAAATGACGACAGACAGATGTACAGATGCAAAAGCTAGTATTTTCTGAAAATTATAAATTAATTAAATAATTACATTACACCAAAAACCAGGTTATTATAATCAAACTAAGCAAACTCAAGTTATGGTAAAACATGTGAAAAATTTACTTAAATCTGACAATTAAAGTCCCAATTATTATAAACTCTGTAACAGAAAATCAGAAAATTTGTAAAATCTTTTTATCAATCCCAGCAATAATGTAAATTTCTGAGTAAATCAATCCAGGCATACAGGAGTTAGTGTGCAACATGTTATAGATTTCTTTTATTCAAATAGTTAAAGTTCTGTATCACTGAAACGACACAGCAAAAAATTTTGAAATCGAAAGGGAGCTTTCTTCCATCAAAAGTAATGTTGAGTTTAAATTACAAAATTGGTTTAAGCAAATTTGAGTTATCGTACAAGTGTTGACAGACTGACGGAGGGAAGGATAGACAGACAGATCGACAGAAAGAGATGGACAAATTGACAGACAGACTGATGGACATTGGTATACCATAATACATCAAAAATGTCAAATTTATTTAGATTTTAAGCATGAACCCCCCTCTCCAAAAATAAAGAAAATATTGACAAACCTATTGTATCACTATCTTTTTCTGGTTATAGACAAGTAAAATTTAGTACCTTTCCCAAAATTAAGAAGCCTCCTCTCTATAGCTATCAATCTATCTGGCTGCTGATTCTCCTCAACATATTTTTTATTCAGAAACTGGACAACATGTTCAACATTCATCAGATAATTTATATCTAGGGCTTCATGGAGTATCTGTAAAAAAGTCTTGTTATTATTTCACTTATGTTTTTATGTACTGTTTCGCTTTTGTATATGTTTTATTGTAGATTTGTATCAAATATAAGTACCTATCCTAAAGCATAGGTATAAAAGGTGCCTAGCATAAACATCTACCACTACCCCAGTTCCTGTGGTACATCATACATATAAACAACATCACATGGCACACCTTAGGACAACCAAACAGCTGAAATAGCTGAAGCCCTTTTAAGATTGATTGCCAGTTTAGATGACGGTACACATTGGCATTACTGATAAGTCATTAACATAAATACAACTGATTAAAATCAGTTCAGGGATGATTCCAGCTGTTTTCAAATGGGTCCCTTGACCACCAAATTGGGAATTTTTTATGCATAAAATCTTAGATGAAATAACATTATTTTCCTGTAAAAACGGAAAATGTATATTAAGTTTCATCTGTACACTAATGTAAGAAGTTGTAACATTTTGAATAATTTTGGATGGGCTACTGAATATGATGTATATATCATATGTGATAACCAGATCGCTTGACAGTTATTTGATTGAGACCAGGGAAGTTGTTACATTAAAAGATTATTGCACATGATGCACCATCTTTTGTAGGCTTGCATCTTACAATGAAGCTATGGTAACCTAGACCTTTTACAATAATATATATATATCAGCTAACACAAACCACTGAAAAAAATCATCCATTTGGGTATTTTTTTCAACAACAGATCATCTTTATAAATTTACCTTGATTCAAAGTGATTTCAAATTGAACTGGCCAATTGTCGAATTCAGAAAAGCAATTACGAAAGGTTATATACTTTATAATTGATAAGATATTTTGTGATTTTTGCTTGCTGTTTAATATGTAGAAGGTTGCCATAGTTTAACTTTTGGTGTCACTCAAAGAAACAGGAAATCAAAGCATTGAACCATTGTATTTTAATTTTATTTTGATCATCCTCTCAACTTTTGAAACCGTTCCATAATGTCAATATCGTATTAATAATTTCATGAATGATCTATCATCCACATGTATTTTCAAAAACGCTCAAACTTATGACTTTTTCGGAAAAAGAGCCTGACAAAATATAAAATAATTTCTTTTACAAAGTTTTCATCATATTATATAACCGGCTCTGCTGGGGGATTTCCTTTTACGAGATCGGCGCCCATTAACATTTATTCATCAATGTTTATCAAAATTTGAATTTTGCTCTCTGTCGATGTCTGCTTTGATGACACCCATTTTGACAAAAAGCATCTTTTTATCAACCTGCTTGGCGATCTGCTTTTACGAGATCAAACACTTTAATAACATCAAATCATTTAGGCCACATGTTGACATAATTTAATCGTTGTTAATAAAGTGAAATCGTTGACAGCTTCTTGCCAGGATTTTAAAACGTTTTGACGACAAACTATGAAAAATTATAGTTGCCTAAATCGATGACGGAAACATTTCTGGAAATATCTTTTTTTATTTTATTTTTCCTGAATTGGGAATTTATATTCACATTAATTTTTTTTGGGGCCGCCGGCCGATTTAAGGACCGCTAAGCGGTCCTAAACTATATAGTGGAATCATCCCTGCAGTTTATAATGATTTACTATTTACACATATCACAAGTATATTGAAAATAAACAACAGGACACAAGAGCTAGAAAACCTAAAGTGTAGTTAGCAGTTCACAACTCAATAAAACAATAATATAATTTTATTACAGCAGAGTGCTGACCTATAAAAATCAAGAATTGTTTATTGATCAAAACATTTTTTCGACAGGTCACAACTAAACTGATCTTTTATTAGGCCACCTTAACAAATTCTTTGTTTGAACTTGTCTACCCATGCCTTGAAGGGTTGGGTAGGTAGGTAGGGATTTCATTTTTTTTGGCCAACAACAAAAATTACATGTTTTAGACAAGAAAGCAACGTTAGAGCAAGAAAAAAACTTTTTAAAAAAATTGATACGATTTGTGTCATAAAATTTTTCTGGGAGGCTGCTTTTTAAGTGAGTGGGTAGGCAACATCAAACAATTTTAATTTTATTTTTGGCCTTACCCAATCAATTGAAGTGTAAAGACTTGATAAATATATTAATATACAAATACAATACAAAGCAAAACTAGTGAAAAACTGCCCCCATGCTTCCTTATTGCAAAAGTCTTGTAAACCTTAACCAAAACTCATTCTGTAAGACATCATTATATACTAATGTATAAATTATCTTATCTGTACCAAAACTAAGATTAATATCTGAAAGAATAGAAAAAATGGCAGAAAGAAGGATGTCAGTAGGAAACTGGGTACCCACTTAGTAAAAGGGGCATAATAATAAATTATCACAAGTAAAAGTTAGAATAAAATGCTCCGCTGGGCGCAGCTTGATATGACCACAGAGGTAGAACCATGAACAGTTGGGGCAAGTATGGACACAACATTCAAGCTTGATACAGCACTGAATTTGGATTGTGATTAAATATTTGACACAGCATAGGTTTCTGACACAGAATGAATGTGGTCTAAGAACTTAAGAATTTTTAATTTACCTATTCAAACCATATCATTATTATTTTCTTTCATATACAAATCAGAAATAACCAATTTAAAATGGAAAATTTGAAAGAAAAAAAAAGGAAAAAAAGGAAAAAAAAATCCCCCCCCCCAATTTTTTGAACCCCCTTATGATTCATCACCCCCAAACTCAATCCCAGCCTTCCCTTTGTGGTATGATACCTTGCAGTACAATTTCAGAGAGATCCATACACTTGAACACAAGTTATTGTCTGGAAACTAGAAAAATGCTTGTTTTTTGCCCCTTTTTGGCCCCTAATTCCTAAAATTTTGAGGCATTTACCCCCAAAATCAATCCCAGCCTTCCCTTTGTGGTATGGTACCTTGCAGTACAATTTCAGAGAGATCCATACACTTGAACACAAGTAATTGTCTGGAAATTAGAAAAATGCTTATTTTTGGCTCCTTTTTGGCCCCTTCTTCCTAAACGTTTTGGGCAATTACCCCCAAACTCAATTCCAGCTTTCCCTTTGTGATATGGAACCTTGTAGTACAATTTCAGAAAGATCCATACACTTACACACAAGTTATTGTCATGAAACTAGAAAAATGCTTGTTTTTTGCCCCTTTTTTTGCCCCTAATTCCTAAAATTTTGAGGCAATTACCCCCAAAATCAATCCCAGCATTCCCTTTGTGATATGGAACCTTGTGGTACAATGTCAGAGAGATCCATACACTAACACACAAGTTATGTATGGAAGTTACAAAAATGCTTATTTTTGGCCCCTTTTTGGCCCCTAATTCCTTAACTGTTGGTACCATAACCCCCAAAATCAATCCCAACCTCTCTTTTGTGGTATTGAACCTTATGGTAAAATTTCATAGAGATCCATTCGCTTTAACTAAAGTTAGACGTCATACCAATATACTTTTGCGGTCGTATAAAAACTATAAATTGGTTAAGAATTTAAAAATTAAACAAAATAATTCACTTACGCCAAGGTGGGTTAGACAACATATCATTTCTCGTCCAGTGTTCTCTGGCAGTGTAGTATCACACATAATCTGATTCTTCAGTTTAATGATTGATCCCAGATATGTCTTGGATAAGTAATCTCCCCCTGGTAAGTTTTGACGGGTGTTCAAAACTCCTTTTCCTATGATAAATGAAACCAATCAAAGATTTTATTTTGAGTAGATCCCTTCTTCCATTTACTTGTAAGATTCAAACATTCATTGAGTGTACCAGTATATTTCATATTAAAGGAAAACATTAATGTAAAATTATGATGTCATGAATATTTTACAATTACCAAAAACAATAACCAAAAGATACAAAGATTTGGTTTGGAAGTTTGGCTGTAACTAAATCAATCAAGTGTAATTCCAAAATCATTTTTTATTTCCTAATCAAATGCAAGATCAACGACTGCATGATAGAGTTCTCCATTAGTTGGTCAGAATATTTATTTTTATCTTGTCTTGGGCAATGTTTTTTCTTTCAGTTATTACCAGGCCAAAATATTCATTAAAAAAATCCTCCTCCAGAACCCACTCCCCCCCCCCCCTCAAAATTTCAAATGGTCGTCCCCTAACCTGGAAATATGTGAGATATTGATATTGTTATTGTGTCTGTCAATAATCTTCATATACAATGAGGACTTGTGTCTAACTGATGTAATATTTTGTGATTTCAGACAAAACATCTGACCGTATCTATTTCAATTTATCTGTCAATCAAAAGATGGCAATCAATTAAAAATGTAATATATTACTTTTCATTAGATTCTCATATATATTCTCTACTTGTTTCATTTCTTCTTCAATGATACTTTTACAAGGGTCCTCATAGCTAACTTCCATTTTCACATGCTCTGAAAAAAGTTACACATTTGTATTTCAATGAAAAGATTACCAGTAATAGTATATAAACCAATTAGTATATATAAACTAAAACCATAGGATGACTAGAATAATGTTATAATTTCCTAAATTCATAACCCTTGTATCTATTAAATTAAAGTATTCTTAGTCTTTCTTGGAACCCGTCTTTTCTGTTTTATGTATATTTCATTGTTTAATTCCCTGAACTAACTGATCTTTTTGTCATTTTTGTCATTTTTGTCTTTTTCGTTTGTATTATTTATCTGCTACAGGTCATTAAGTATCATTTTATTTATTTTACCAAATATTGTGAACTTTGCTACATGTCTTAGCTTTGACCTTTTTTATTTTATTTTCTCAAATTTTAGCTGGAGAATGGCAGGCAGAATGATTGTTGTCAAAAATAAATATACCTATATATGATATCATTTTTTTTATGTTTTTGTTTATAAATATAATATCTTTTGAATAAAAATCTATATATAGAGCTAACTATTGATTTATCAAATGTTAATACAAGTGATAAAAATACAATGAAAAATATTTAAATATAAATCAATGGTTAGTATTGGATTCTTCTTTCATGTTTGTATGGATAAATTCATTCTTTTTTCAATACTTGGTTCATTGACAATCATACCACATCTCCTTATTTTTAATAAATTATATGTAAGGAGGTAACAGTAAGCAGTCAAGTTTTAATGATAACAATTGGTGTAAATATGTTTGTCTTTGCAGTTTTGTATACAGTTGGAGTAAGATTAAATCAAAACGTATCATAAGAAAAGGGTTAAACCAGTGAAAAGTTGCTACTACCAAACCATGCTCCTAAACTGTACATTTATTGAGAGAAGACATTCTTATTTCAAGGATTCAAAATATTAGTATGCCAGACCTGCCAACTATCCTGATTTATGGGGGTTCCCCCATGAGAGATGTTTGCCTGAATTTTGAAATTCCTTATTATATAAACTGAACAACCTCAAAACAGGCATTCAAATGGGTTAAAAGGATATTTAATCACATACATACTCATTCAAACAATGCAGTAGTAGATCAAAAACACTTATGACAATATAAAAGGATCACAAGGTCCTCTGATTTAAAATCCCCCATGGAGATTTTGAAAAGTTGGCAGGTATGGTATGCTTGGATGGACAAATAAACATGTGCGATCATTGTCAAGTTTCACCTGTATAAATGTGTTAAAATTCATAGTTGGATACCATCCGGAACCAACTTGACCTTGACCTTTGACCTGTTGACTCCAAAATCAATAGGTTCTTCCCCTACACTACGTCTTTAATCAGTATCAGTTTAATTCCAATCAAGCAAGGGAAACTCAAACTCATAATAGGAAACTATTTTACATCTTTCTATTTATGTAACAGTTAACTTGACCTAAGATCTTTTGAACCTAAGATCAATAGGCTACTTTCCCTTCCCTTTATCTTCAATCTGTTAACCTTTCAAGCAAGAGAAACTGAAGTTACTATCTCAAATCCTTTTTCCAAAAAAAACTATTTTTAGTAACAGTGACCTTAGTCTTTGACCTCTTGACCCCAAAATCTATGGCTTCTTCCCCTTCCTATATCTTCATTTGTAAAAGTTTTTTTTTGCTCCAATAAAGCAAGGGAAACTCACTTTTCCATCAGGAAACCATTCTTTTTTCTAAATCTATTTTTAGTAGTGACCTTGACCTTTCATCTTTTGAACCCCTTCTTCCCCTTCCCTTTACCTTCCATTTATTTAAGTGTCATTTAAACTAAGCAAGGGAAACTCAATTTGTTTCTGACACACTGACAAACAAAGTGATTACAATATGCTTCTTTAATTTTTTCAGGGAAAATATTAGAAATATGAAAAAACTCCTTCAACCAGACAATCAAATCAAATACCTTATTATTTTTTTTTCAAATGTATACCTTCTGTTGGAATAGCCACAAATTTCTTCATCTCTTCTTTATTTCTCTCCACAGTGGAGATTTCATGCACATCTAAGTTACTGAAGATCTTGATCATGTGAGTTATGGCACCATCTTCTGTGGTAGCTGCCCCAACTCCTATTGAAGCAGTTAATCCAACAATCTAAACAAGACACAATGGTAAGACTTCAGAAGTAGTTCTTTAAAGTTTCAAATCTGATGAGATTCAATTTTTGTAAGTTATCCAATACTGGTATAAATGAATTAAAATTTACTTTATTTTGCAAATAATAAAGCAACCTGAGGTTTATCATTACTGGTAACAACTCCTACTCATAGAGTGCCAGTTACTGACAAAGTTTTCTTCAGTATTCTTTAACAGAAAGTCTGATTGGAAATACTCTTCTTACATAGAAAGGTTTCAAAAAGAGAGTTTCAGCATGAAAAACTGGGTCTCTAACTCCTCTTATTTATCAAATACAAAAGGTTCACTAATGTGCCAATTTTGACATGAAATTTACTTAATACCAGTTCTTGTTATTGTCTATTACTAATCTTGTCTTCTGAATGATTTTCCCTTCTATACCAAATAATGGTATTTAATCTTTGAAAAGTGGCTACATATGAATTAACTGCGAACACTGGTTGTATGAATTAAATTGAACATCAAATTTATCATACATGGTATGACTGCAAATATTTACCTGTGGTAAAGGAATATTTTCATTCCTATGCTTAGTTTTTATATATTTTCTCATTAGGTTGTTGTAGGGTTCCCCTTTAGCTGTATGATGGCACTCATCTAAGATCAAAAGTGTGAATTGTGGTATTCTTGTGTCTCCTTTTTCTATGTTGTTAATAAGAATTTGTGGGGTGAAGAAAAATACATCATAAATTTCCATTAGTTTCTTCAGAGGAACTGTTGTCTTCTCATCTTTGTTGATAATATATACCTGTAAAGTTAAAGAAACAAAGTGATTGATTCAAGCACCTGAAGCAGGTTCAAACCAGCATAACATTTTTAAGAATCAAATTTAATGTACAATTCATTCTAGCTTTTTGTCTGTTTTAAGATACTCAATAATGCTGTGTAATAAGACATTGTTTTTCAACCAGTACAATTGGTTAAAATGACATGACTGACTTTGATCATTATCATTTTGAAATGATTATTTTTGCGAAAATATCTTATCTCCGGTTAATTTCAAGTTTTTAACTCCATGCATTTAGGAATGGCTGAACAAAGTGTCCACAAAATGCATTCTTTCCATAGCTACACCAGCCCTTCAAAACTGCAATTATGATGAAATTTATTGATTCCATGTATCTCTTTAATCAATATAAGTTTTTGAGAATTTCAGACAAAGTACTAGTAACTTACCATTTTCTCTCCAAGGAAATATTTAAATAATGTGTACTGCTGTTGTACTAATGGGTTGGTTCTTGCCATAAATGCAACTTTTGGTGATTCTGTAATAGACATGATTCAAATTAGTGTTATGTGTTTAAAGTTTATATAAACAAAAAATCATACATCAGTATACGTAGGACTTTGCACAAAAATCAATCTTACAAGAAAAGTATAACTTCATAACTTTTTTCACAAAAAGCTGTGAGGGATAACAAATGTTTGCTTGATCCCAAAGTGTAAGCATTGGACAGTTTTTCAGGTGTATGTGTAAAATAATAGAGGAATACATAATTCATCTAATTCATCTACCGATAAGATGTTTCAATATTTTATATTTGATAAATGGTCACATACCATATGTCCAGTCAAGCTGTGAACAGTCTACCAAAGAAGAAAAGGACTAACGGATGGTGATTTCAATTTTGACATTGAAACAAAAAAAAGTTATGAAAAAATAAAATGCTTTCTGCTTTTATCATTTAAAAAATACTGTGAAAAGTCTTTTTATCTTAAAACTGGACTTCAGGAACAGTCTTATATAGGTCAATCTAGAGTATAAGATGAGGCTGCAAAATTATGGAAAAAAAATATCTTCTTATAGTCAGAAAATCATGATAAATATACCACCACTTGTTTTAAGATATTTACAAAAAAATGCATGCTCGGTGTGCATAGTTAAATTCAAAATATTGTCAAACAGGAAGTTAGTTCCCTGCAGATCTGAAAATGTCTTACACAGAACAACTTAACATGTTGAAGGTGGAACGGTGACCTATAGTTGCTATCTTTTATGTCATTTGGTCTTTAGTGGAAAATTGCCTCATTGCACTCTTTTTACAACAAATATTCAAAGTATTGTCAACAGCCGTTGATTTCCATCTTAAAATGGCTTACATGGTACATTAAATCAGACAAAATATCAAATTTTCCATATTACAGAAGCTGAGCAATATGTAGGGAAAAACAATCTATGTCTTGTGGTTATAATAAAAATGCAAAGTATTGTCAAACAGGAAGTGACTGCCCTGCAGTTCTAAAAATCACTTCCAAGGTAAAAGCTTACCTTTTAAAGTTCAAGACCAATTTGACATATCATATTATTTCTTAATTAATACAGAAACTGAGAAATGTGTAATGAAAAATATGAACAAAAGGACAGATGGACAAGGGCTTTTCAGTATATGCCATCCACTCTGTGTATTACAATTAACCATGAATGAAGACACCAATTAATCATACTCATTGGAAACTAGATGTACTTAAGTTTATGCTTCAAATTTCATTGACTTATTCGAATTAAAGTTAACTAATTACCAATTCAAAATATTGTTGATTGAACTTTAATTCTCATTGGCAAACAGATCCTACCTTGCCTATTGAATTTCTTGTGGCAAGCTTCATAAAACTTAATATTTCATCTTACTGACAATTTTACGCTACCTTTTTTAAGCTTAAGTTTGTCAATATGCTCCTGCACTATATGTAGAGCCACCCAGGTTTTACCAGAACCAGTATCAGCACATATCACAGTGTTTTTACCAGTCAAAGCTTTTTCTGCCAATTCAAGTTGATAATCACGTAACATGATCTTCTTTGGCTTAGAAAACTCTTTTTCAGTACCTGAAAAAATATAATTCTAATGCAATTATTTTGTATCAATGGTTCTGATTGGATGACAATCAGCGTAAAATTCTCTATCTCCCTGTCTGTAACTAAGGGAAGGCAATATTTGCATGTCAGAATGTATTGACATGTAGGTTGCACTTCTGTAAATATAGACAATGCAATTTCCCATAGGAACTCCCTTTATGGCTAAAACCGTGCCACTTTTACTATGAAATATCGTAAAAAAATATATCCTAGAATGGAAAGTTTATATGCACTACTTTTTTATTCAAAGGTCAAAACATAGGGCTGTGTGGCATATTTTCAACATTTATATGCCCCGAATTTCTAAGAGTTTAAACTTATACTAGAATTCTGTAATACCCTTCCCTTCACTTTGGGTCTTCCTCAGAATTCAATTTCGCCACTATCCATGTGTACTTATACTGGTAACATTCCAAAGTTATGTATCTATGAGATTAAACATTGAGATCATATCTGGGAACCAGTACGTAAACAAAACAAAATATCTATGAATATTATATATCTCCCCAAAAGAGGTGTGGTTTGTGAAATAGCTGAATTTACAGAGTGCAACCTGTGATTTTTCAAATAATAAGCAAAAAAACTCAAATTTTCACCAAGAAATCTTTTTTTCAAATTTTATTACATTCTGAGGTGGACAAGAAACCAGAAAATGCCCGTTGTTTACTTCTGACACTGAAAGCATACCTATGACATCACCTAGTTTAGGTGCCAAAGAAGATAACATGATTTCGCGGAATTTTCGTTTAATTAAAATTTTACAACGAAATAATGACTAAAATTGAATGATTTGTTTATTTTGCATTAGAGTAGAGATAACTGTTTGCATTTAAAGCTTTGCGGATGTCCATCGGTAGTTTTACTGTTGCAAATATCTGTTACTCAATTTGCAACAGTAAAACTACTGATTCAAATACATTGTACAATGCAGTTACCTCTTAATTAATCCACTTATTTCAATTGTCTATACAAAGTAATACTGTGGTCATGAAAATAAATTTTTAAATTACATATAAAGTCTGACAGTACATTTAGTTTAGATCAATTTAAACTTGATAGTATTTTCCTATATTTATTTTTTGTGATGCATTCAATTGTTAAGTTAACCAACCACTGACCAAGGAAAAATGATAAGGGACAGATTACAAAAAAAATAACTAAACACATCATACAGTTAAATTCTAGATGAAATATCGAACATTACATGATTATTCTCAATAAAATACACACTATAATTGGAATAATGAAATTCAAATTATTCCACTTAATTTTAGTATCCTGTAGCTAATCCAATATAATGTTCAAGAGTTAAATTAACAAAACAAAACAGTTAAAAACAAAATTTTCAGATATCAAAAAGTCATTACATAAAATGAATTTCCACCGTAGAAAAAGTCAAAGTTTTAATACCGGATTCAAATGATGGACTGTTACCTTCTTTCGTATATTTTTCATCTTCATAATCAGAATCCAGTCCAGCTTTATCTCCATCTTCAGCCAGACCTACAGCACTTAGTTGTTCTGATAGCTCCTCTTCATCATCATTGTCATGTACTGGTGTAACAACCTATAAGTAACGATAATAACATAAGCATGGCTTTTTTCTTTTTATATATATTTTTAGTCATTAGCCTTGATTCAAATCACTGAGTTCAGAAATCATCTAAGTAAAATTTTCTATTGTATCAAGGAACTTATAGCAATGTAGTATTTAACAAATTCTTTTTTAATTAAATCAACATCCGTTTTACAAATCTTTCGTAGAAAGAATTGGGTGAAAATCATTCCACTCTAGAATAATCAATTCCTTTTGTTTTTTTGTGTCAGTTGGTTGCTGTCTCAGATATGTATACCAAACATCTCCTTTGATTCATACTTCATTAATTAGTTGTGTATCCTGATTGGCTGGTGGGCTGTGTGAATATTGAAGTGGTTATTTTTATGTAATATTAGATTTTCTACATGTATTATTTACATCTAATGATAGACAAGAGTGCATATGCTGAAATGTCTTGCCTGCTTAATTACTTATCAAGATTGAGTTTATGTTGAAAGTGTGTAATATAAAAGTTTTAATATAATTTTCAAATAAAATATTAACATTACCAATGATCTTTGTAAATAAGGTCAGATGAATTCTGCCAGATAGACATGTACACCTTAAAATCATACCAAACACCAAATATAGTTAACCTATTGATTATGGTATACCAGAAACAGACCTAGTTTAGAAAATTGAAAATTGACCAATGGCCCAGGGAAATGAGATCAAGGTCAGATGAACCATGACAGACAACATGTGCACGGCCATGCAATCATTTCATACACTAAATTTAGTTGACCTATTGCTTACAGTATCAGACCTGCCAACTATCCCGATTATAGGGATATCATCCCGATTTTCATGCCTCAACCCGAATCCTGATATCGGGATTGAAAACAAGTCAAAATCCCGATTTTCACAAAATCTACCCGCAATAATTGTTGATTACCGATTTTGAAGTTTTTCTGATCAATTTCTATAAATCTATAATTTTACCTGGCGACATATTTATGACAAGTTTACGACCGCAAGTTAATCAACAGTCACAACAGGTGTCATAATCTGTTGTTACAGGTAATCTGCTTTTCCGATGGGTCATAATGATCCTCAAAATTAATTAGTTTGTAAATAGAATCGGTCAGTTGGCATTTCAATTTTAATCAATTTATCATACGATCACAATTTGCAAAGTTTACCGTAGTATCATGACAAAAACATAATCAACTGAAAGACGAAAACTGTAATGAACTCATTATGAAACATCGTTTATCTTGAAGTCCTTGAAAAATTTTTGTAATCAGATGTGTTTCTGTCCAGTTCTGATCAGTTCCGATTTAAATTCAACGCCATATTGTATTCACTTCTACTGTGTATAAGCCTCTGCTGGTAGGAGCACCTTTGAATACCAAGAAAGATAACTCAAATTTTATCCATTTTCTCAATACTGATAACTAACTCAAGATCTGTCTCCATCCTTCTAACTTTAGGATATTGATGTTAAGGTCTTTTGAGGCATGGTGGAAAGATAAAAAGGTCTTTGGAGGGGGAAAAGGGGGGTCTTCATTTTGGATCCTTTATTTTATTAGGCCATTTTTCTCTATTCTGTAGTTATTTTGCCAATTAATAAGTACAAGAATCATGCAAATAAAAGAAATCAAGGCTTGTTAGCTCATCATCAGTATACCAAAAGGAAAAAAAGAAGAGACATGAGACTATTTCAAGAGTATAAAACAGTGCACACAGAAACGCCGCAAAAATGTTAACCCTTAAAAATCTGGTCACGCACTAAATCCCACGGAGATTTTCAAAAGTTGGCAGGTCTGCAGTATCTCAAAAACGAAAAATAACCATGAAAACTTTACATAGACTAATGAACCATGAAAATGATGAATCTTGCCAGAAGGACATTAACACATTGGAGTCATTCTATACATCAAATATAGTTGACCTATTGCTTATAGTATCTAATAAAAGGACCAAATCAGAAAAAAATTAACATTGACCAATGAACCATGAAAATGAGGTCAAAGTCAGACGAAACCTGCCAGTCAGACATGTTCATGTTATAATCATTCCATACACCAAATATAGTTGACCTGTTACTTATAGTATCTGAGATATGGACTTGACCACATAAACTTAACCTTGATCACTGATCCATGAAATGAGGTCGAGGTCAGGTGAATCCTGTCTGAAGGACATGTAGAACTTTTAAGGAACCCATATATGGTACCGAATATAGTTATTCTATTAATCATAATAAGTGAGAAATTCATATTACAAACAAACAAAAAAAACACTTTTCAAGCAGTCCCTGAACCATGAAAATGAGGTCAAGGACAATGGACATATACTTTGGTATCTTTCCCCTCTCTTTTGTATACTCTTACACTATAAAAATTTGTCTAAGATAAACACATACCCTTTTTACAGCTGTTTGGTCATCAGAGACTCTAGTATAAACTGAAAAATAAATTAATAATATACAATGTATTAAAGGGGCATAAGCTGTCAAATTCATGTTCACCGATTTGACTCAAATTCTCATATTTGATTTATAACATACTAAAACGTATATCCAAATTACAATAAGTCTGAAATAAACAATTAATAATGCACGGACTCAATAATATATATCAGCATTTCGTATGTATTTTAGTCAAGACTCCATCTAATTAACCATTGAGATGACCTCCGAAGACTGCCGATATAAACATAAACATAAGTATAAATAGATAACGACCTCTTGCATTGGACTTTTCTAGGTCTGTTTGATTTCATGTTAAAGGTTAAAAAAATAAGTTAATCATCGTTTTTTACCTGTATAAGAATGATTTTTTGTGGATCGAATCAGTCAAGGAATGGTTCAGTCTTGTTTCACTTTCAATGTTGACATTCTTTTCCTTTTAATGGCTGAACACGACTAATACAAGCGTAACCAATCTCTAGCTAATGGGTTATATTGAAGGTCACATGAATATGGATTCAATGAGTTCGAATAATATTCACTTGGAAGTGAATAATTCTTCAGCGATGTTGCTTAGCTTATTTTGACAAAATTGAACTAAACGGGCTGCTAAAAGCGAACTCTTATTTCACTTTTTCACTTTCATTATTGATTGAACAAAAATAAATCATATTTTATTTTTTTTTATATCTCGTAGCTAATGCCCCTTTAAAAAAAAACGTAATTTTTGAGAAAATAAAAGAACAGAGTTCCAATGTCCCTAGTGTTGCACAGATTTTATCTATCCAAGGGCAATAACTAAAAAAAAACCTTTTTTTTTTGTTCTTAAATTTTTTTTATAAATATCTTAGAGAAATGAAGGCTTCAGAGCAAATTCAATGCGATTTCCGTTATAATTAATTTTTCCAAGGGCATAACTAGTTAAAAAATATTTGATCAGCACTTACTTTCGAAAGTGTCAAAGATATTGCTGATATAAACCTATGATATAAAATTCTGGCAAGAATTGTACACATGAGAGCACTAACAATGCAATTTTCCATAAAAAAAATTGATCGGCACTGATTTTCGAACTTGTCCAAGACATTGCTGATATAAACCTATGATATAATTTTCATAAAAATCTGGCAAGAACTGTACACGTGAGAGCGCTAATAAGACCGGACGGACGCCCGGTATTTCTATGTCCCCTGCAACGTGTTCGCGGGGGACAAAAAAATTCTTTATGATTGGTAGACGGATGTAAACTTGACTGTCCTTCTTATTGGAGATTTGTTAAAATCTTTCCTAATAGTAATTGTAATTTACACCTAAACTTCAAAACGACCCTACAATAAACACAATGATGTTAGCAGGTCTGCCTTTACAAATTTTATGAAAAATTAATGAAAATATAAATGTTTTCCATCATAGACATTATAGACATCTTCATATACTGTATTTACAAATGTTTAGCAAAGTTAAAAAGGTACGTGCTTGTAAACTTTAGGACCTTTTGACTGATACACCCTGTAGCCTATATGGAAAATTTGAAGAAGTTCAGCAACTGCATGATAATTTTGTGAAAAAATTAAAGAAAATCTAAAATTCTTTCAACCTGCATTTACCTGTACATGTATGTAAAATAACTTTAAAAATATAAAGTTACTGTCGTGTAAATTGTAAGAGGAGTTCAACAGACAAATCCTACACACTACACAGAAAATTTCAAACCAGATAGACTATTAGTTCAATAACGAGTAATTTTGTAAAAACTGAACAAGTCAAAATCCTTTCCACAGGCATGTTATCATGGTTAGGCATGGCTTTATAAATACTTATATATGCTGGCTTCACTAGTCATCAAGATTCTGATTTTAAATGGTGCATAAAAAAAATAAACTGTTGACACAGAGATATGTCTTGCCTATCTGTAGAAAATATAAAAAAAACCCAATCTGATGGACAGCAACATTGCAACAATTCGAAGTCCCTGGACCATAACCTAGGGGGCAGGGCCTCAAAATAGTTGTCAAACTGATATGCACTGATAGTAATGCAACTTTATAGAAAACATCATTAATCTATCACAAGTAGTTTCTATCAAACTATAAACTTAAGAAGAAAACTTAACATTGAAAATTGCTTATTAACTGAAAGTCTCTGGACCGTGACCTGGGTGGCAGGGCTTGGAAATAGCCATCAAACTGATATGTACTGATAGTAATGACACTTTATACAAAATATCATTGATCTAACACAAGTAGCTCCTATCAAACTGACTTAAGCAGAAAACTTAACAATTGTTGACGCATCCTCCGCCACCATTGCTGCTACAGTCACCGGAATTACAATACCTATGTCTCACTTTCCACGACTTTCGTCATAGGCGAGACAAAACTTTTAAACATCCAGTTAAATAACAAAATTACTTTAGAGTATAAAAGAGACATGCTAGAAGAGATGAAGCATTTATGATTACATTCAGGTAAACATAAAATACAGAACAATTCAAGAAATAAATGTTACAAACTATGCAATGAAAAATGAACTATGTGTCATGAGACTTTCAAATGTACACGTGCTTCTGTAGTAGTCAATGGAAGTTGTATATCATATATCATGTTTAATAGACTTTTTACTTTCTGTGATAGGTACATCTTGATTTTGCTGTAGACCAACTGTAACACCAGTCCTCTCAAGTTCTTCTGAAAACCAAGAATATTAATATCAATAATTTTGTGACTTTCATAGATATTTCAGTTTTATACAGCAAACTTTTAGCCTCCTCTTCAGATGTGTAATATATTTCTTAACTGGTTTATTATGTCAATTTCTGTAGTGACTATTCAAGGAATGTAGTCTGAGTATGTATGACTGTCAGGGATTTTGTTACCACAAATTACCTAAAACTTTTACTAAATTCATTCATATATACAAAGATTTGGTAAATGGAAGTTTAGCTGTACCTCACATCAAAATCCTAATTTTTACTGTGATGTTGTTTATAGAGCAAGTAATTTGTAACAGTCCATATAAACTCATTGTTCCTATGAATATGATGATGATGGGAGTTTTTAATGACCTTGACTGGCTATACAGCCCTCACACGGTCGGCTCATGCCAGGAGGCGATTGTTGAGCATTAAATATTTTCTGTTGCAGGTGGTCAGGAACAGGTGGAAGGCGCCATTTTGGTAGGCGGCCATCTTGGTTTACCTGAGTTGTTTTGGTTTGGTTTTTTACTATTTTGATGTTTCTTTGTAGAATGGACTCCACAACGGCTGCTTTCAGGGCCAGGTTGATCAGCTGGGCAGCCTGCAAACCTTGAGATGTGTTGCTGGTAGATGAATCATTGACTCAGTAGTAGATGACTACTATACACATAGCCCTCAGACGTCTGGGCAGCATATGACACTCACCCATCCACAATGGGTTTCAGACTGTTGCTGACGCGGGTTTACTGTACGGGAGCCTCATAAACTAGTTTGTCGTTGAACCATCTGAGCAGCGTAACATGTCGTAGTTAACGGATAATTAGGAGCTGATCCAGCATGTCCTTTCAGCTGTAAGGACTGAGACGTGACTGTTTTCGAATGCAATGTGATGAATTGAGATCGATTGATCCTATGAATAAACTTATTCCTAATGGTTATAAAAATTTAACACCCTAGTAAGATCTCTGGATATTGTTTTTATCGGTACTAACATTGATTTTGTTTTTGATAAATTTAACATAACTAAATACATGAAATATGTATTGCTAAAAAGTTATGAATATCTATCGCACCCCGGATAAATTGTGACGTTATGATTGGTTTAACGCTGTCACGTGGTGACCCCTATGTATCCGTATGGGGTCAATAGATTTCATATGGGTTTCATGGCGTCACATATACTATTAATGGTGACGTCATCGATAAAAGTTTTTGTATTTCATTGTTTATTTTTATACTTAACTTAGCAGGAAAAGTCCCTTGTGCCATAAATTCGTTATACGGTTCACTACTGACCCCTATGGATTTTACTAACCCTCTATGGATCTGTAGGGGGTCAGAAGCAAACCATATAACTTATGGTCCTACATCCTGTTTAACTATTTACTTAATTTTTTGGCATTGCAAGCTATTTCATGCTTTTCTCAGACTATTTATTTTGTAGATATTTGTTCAAATTTATTTTCTCTGCTTTTACAAATTTAAGTGACGAAATTGATCAGAAATACAGTTGTCATTTTGAAACTAGTTTCGTAAACGGTGAAAATGACGAATGATGGTTAAATAATTGCCTGTCCCAAGTCATGAGTCTATTATTCATTGACTGTTATTGTTTTCTGTCTGCCATATTTGTTTTCCATTAATTGTTTTGTCATAAATCATGTCTTTGGTTTTCCTGTTTAAATTGTTTCACATTTTGTCATGTTGGACCTTTTTAAAGCTGACTATAGGGTATGGGTCTTTGTTGAAAGGCAAACACTGACCTATACTTGCTTACATCCATGTCTATTCAACTCTCCTGGGTATAAATCATTGTTAATCATATCATATCTCCTTATTTTTATATGGAATGGTACTAACTCTAATAAACTAGGAAATTTTGTAGATTATCAAGCTGGAAATTTTTTCCGTTTTAAGATTCTCTGTATCTATAATAGTTTTCAAGATAATAGCCAAATACTGGGAAATTTGGTAGAAATTGACATTTCAGGGGTAAAAACTCTAAAATGGGTTGTTTGATTTTTCTTCATCAGTACTGCCAAATTTCAAAACATTTAGCTTTGTGGTTTCACAGAGGAGAACATTTTTGAAATATTAACAACAGGCCAACAAAAATAGGATGGGAACCAAGTGATGGCATTAGCTCACCTAGCCATCATGGTCAGGTAGGCTAAAAAAAAAGATTTAATCCATTGAAGTTAAATATGCATAAATTTTCTTTACAATACCTGGTGTTGCTCCTGGATCCATCTTAGCTTTTAAATCTTCTCTTCCTGATTCTTTTAAAGCTTCCATAAACAGACCTGGCCAATTATCCCTTCTTCTTTGCATCATGAAAAATAGTTCTTGAAATGCTTGAAATTTTCCATTAGAATTGCATTCTGATCTTATTGCCTCCATATCACTCAGTTCAAGGCATTTATTCTGGTATAAAAACCCACAGATATCTAATGGTTCTATCCTTTCAAGGAGGTCTCCCTTCATATAACAAATCAAAAATTCATAGTAGTCCTGGCAAAACTTGTCTCCCCTGTCTGGATATTCTTTATTTATAAGATCGATGAATCTTTGATAACCTGAAACAAAATAATAACAAAAAGAGATACTGTTACTTTATTATCATTCATGAGATACGAAGGAGTTGGTTCACTAACTCATAATTTTGGCCCTAAAAAACTGATGTTAATTTTAACTGCGACGATGTTGTGAAAATTATATGAAGACATATATATTATGTTAAAATGTTCAATTGTTTCAGTTATAAAAGATTTTTGACCTATTATGTCATTAGTGATGTATTTCTGACGTCATAAATGTAGGTGAATTTGTGAACACCTGATTTTTGGAATAAATTGATGAAATTTTTGTCAGTTTTCTGAAAAATTAAGTGGCGCCCCCGCGCGCCACCCCTCGCCCACAAATATTTTCGCTGAAATATTTCAAATAAACTATAGTCTTTACTTTTCAACCAAAATTTCAATGGGCGAGGGGTGTCGCCACATATGAAATCATGAAATAAGGTAAAAAAAAAGATAATGAATTTCTAGAAAAATGAACTGAAATGAAATCTATTCCTATTAGGCTCATATATTTATAATATATGAAGCAGACATACATTTTCTCTTACCATACTTTCAAAAATAATACATTAAGCAATACATACACAGAAAATTTACTCGAACAATTGAAGTTTTAACAAGAGGCTCTCAAGAGCCTGAATTGCTCACCTGTAATTTTTTGCTTAATCTTTCATCAATGATTATTTTTGCTTTTCGATATATATTAAGGAGTGGCTTAAAAATGCCATTTAAATGTCCTTTGTATCTGTCATATTTTCTTCAAAAGCAAAAAAATGCATTTTACCCCTATGTTCCATTTTAGCCATAGTGGCTATGTTTCTTGACGTACAAAGAAATAAAATACAAAATTTATACTAGATACTCTGAAACTCATTTTGGTTTAATTTGGTTCATTAGTTTCAGAGGAGAAGATTTTTTAAAGTTAGAAAACATGGTAAACAAATTGTGTAAAATTTTCCTTAAAGGGCAATAACTCCTGAAGGGGTCAATTGACAATTTTGTTAATAATAAAAGTTATTTGTAGATCTTACTTTGCTGAACATTTTTGCTGTTTACAGTTTATCTTTATCTATAATAATATTCAAGATAATAACCGAAAACTGCAAAATTTCCTTAAAATTACCAATTTAGTGGCAGCAACCCAAAAATGGGTTGTTAGATTCATCTGAAAATTTCAGGGCTGATAGAACTTCACCTAAAGAACATTTTTACCCTTGTCAGATTTGCTCTAAATGCTTTAGTTTTTGAGATATAAGCCAAAAACTGCATTTTACCCCTATGTTCTATTTTTAGCCATGGTGGCCATGTTTTTTGACAAAACAGAAAATAAAACACAAACTTTATTCAGCTTAAGTTTGGTTGGAATTGGTTCTGTAGTTTCAGAGGAGAAGATGTTCGAAATAGTTTACAACGGACGGACGATGACGACGGATGCCAAGTGATGGCAAAAGCTCACATTTCCTTTGGAAAGGTGAGCTAAAAATGCACCTCTACAGGACCGTTTTTTGGGGTTACTGGCTCTACTCATATTCTATGATTTTTTATAAAAAGAAAATCTTACTCACATAAACATATGTGTTTTAGGATCTAACAACATACCAGCTTAAATGGAAGTACCATAAAACTTCTTACTGCTTGATTCGATGCGATGAGTTAAGCCCTTTTCAACTGATTTTTATAGTTTGTTCTAATGTTGTACTGTCCCAGGTTAGGGTGAGAGTCTGGCACCAAGTCATGAACCTGTAGTTCAGTGCCAGTGGTTGTCATCATGGTTGATGTGTCATATGTTTTTTTTTGTAAACTGTTTAGTTATAAATTAGGCCATTAGTTTCTCAATTGAATTGCTTCACATTCTTCATGTCGGTGCGTTTTATATCTGACTATACGATATTGGTTTTTCTCATTGTTGAAGGTCAAACGGCTGCCTATAATTGCCAGCAATTAATTCAGGATGTGTTCTTAATAACCATAAGTTTTGTTAAAATCTATTAACCCTATGTATTATGGTGGGTGACCAATAATTTTTTACACAGGGAATCTTATTGGAATTAACAAATTATATCCTCATATCAATATGCATTGAAATCATAGCAAAAACAGATGTTTACCTATATAAATTTACCATTTTTTTACAAAAACTATGCTTTTATCATAATTATAAAATCTAAGGTAACAATTTGGAATGCATATTATACTTATACATGGATATCATTTTTTAAACATAATTTGAGAATGAGTATTTTTTCGAGAGCAAGATGTAGTCAGATCTTCAACCTTACCTCCATCAGATAAAGCCACTACAAATTTCTCTGTCAAGTTTTCATTTACAGAGACTGCATTTATCAGTAATGCAACAGCTTCTGTTCGACTTCTTTTTTCATTTTCACAAATTTTTTCTTGGAGCTCCACTGAAAATTAAAATAAAAGATTAAACTACTATAACCCAGGTGCTGATTATTGCATTTCCAGTGATTATGTTTTTTATACATTTTAACATTAATACAAGATTGATTGATTGATTTTTGGTGTTTTAACGCCACTTTTAAGCACAGCTTTTGGGCTTAATTTCATGGCGGCCAGTTTCTAGTGGTGGAGGAAGACAGAGTGCCCGCAGAAAACCACCGACCTTCGATAGGAAAACTGACAATCCTAGTCAATTAAGATTGGAGTAGAGTGCACCCGCACGAGCGGGGTTCGACCTCACAACCTCAGTGCTGACTGGCTAGTGATTACAGCTAAGTAACTACTTAGACCACTCAGCCACCGAGGCCCCCCATTAATACAAGAAGTTTATCTCTTGTTTTGTTATTTTTACTTTGAACATATTATAGTATTGATGCAAATGAGGCCAAAACAAAAATATAATTAGTGTGTTTCCTGCCCGACCCTTAACCAACCTTAAATTTTCATGCCTACCCTAAAATATTTAAATATCATTTCTGATTGAGCAGTAGCTATTCAAGTCCAGATCACTTCCCTAATATAAAGTCAATGTAATGTATTTTTGAAAAACAAATAAAAAAACAACTTGATATTGTCCCAATACAGAGTGAGCTTCCTTTAGAAATGTGAACTTTGGACAAAGTTAAACTTAACATAAATATTGACAAAATTATTATAACGTCATGGCCAATACATGCCTAATGCAAATAACTGTTTTATATCTTTATAAAATAAAACTAAATATATATTCTGGTAAAACTAAAACGCATACAATGAGGTACAATGTCAATGTAAACAAATTAAATGAGTGTGTAAATGTTATTTTTTTTAGTATGGATTGTCATAATATAGCATAGTTGCACCTGACAAGCCCTGTATATGGAAAAGCACATCTGTTGGCTTTAGAAATTTTTGAAACTCTGGCAACAAGAATTTGATTCTTTCTCGTAAATCGTTTTCCATGATGTTGTGGTGGAATGTGATTTTCCAGAAATCCCCATCTACTTTCACTTTAGTTCTTGTTGTTGTTGTGTTTAACTCCTTTCAATAGGGAACACCAACATCAAGTTTAACTTATTAAGTCTATATGATTATAATCAATTTACACACTCTGAAAATGTATAATGTCAAATTAAGAGTGACGTTCCAACCTCCATGTCCATGATTGGAATCAGTTTATATCACAGGTATTTGGGGACAGAAAAAATTATTTTGTCCTCCCCCTTTTCAAAAACCAATATTTTCTTGTTTTCAATTATTTTCGTGTTTTTCTGTGGTATACTTACATAAATATGATAGAAATAACATTTTTTTACTATTTACTATCAATTGCTAGTGTACTATCCACATCCGTCACTGATAATAGATATATAGTCTATAGATTTTTGTGGAAAAGGGGGAGGGAAAAATTGTCCTGTCCCTAAGTACATCAAGTGATAACTATACTAATTCATCATTAAGGATCATTAAGAACCCTTGAATCAGCAGTTTCATTGGAAACCAGTAATACTCTATCATGGTTATCATTATAGGTATCAATCAAGAGTGTGTCCATAGTACACGGATGCCCTACTCGCACTATCATTTTCTATGTTCAGTGGACCGTGAAATTGGGGTCAAAACTTAAAATTAGAAAGATCATATCTTAGGGAACATGTGTACTAAGTTTCAAGTTGATTGGACTTCAACTTCACCAAAAACTTTAACCTGACACGGGACAGACGGACGAATGGACGGACGAACAGACCAGAAAACATAATGCCCCTACTATTATCGTAGGCGGGGCATAAAAATGTGGAACATCGTTTCAACCAGGAGGCATACTCTATATTCAGGCGTCAACGAATGTTTCAATATAAAATCGGAAGATTTACAATGGGAAAATTGAAATCTTCTCTTTTGTCGTAAAGTTTAGTTCTCACCCGGTCGGCCAATTTCTAGATGCAAATAAAGATATTATGCCGACCTAACTGTATATATGGTATCCTTTATTTCAAGTTCAAAGGAAACTTGAGATAAGCTTAACATTGTTACCAAACTTCAGTTATTCAGTGAGATAACAGCATGTACATAGGGGAACGTTAAGGTTAATGCTAGCTTCTTTTCCATTCTTCCTCTGTATGAAGTCTGCATCATACGAATAAAAGAAATAAGTCGGCAAGACTAGGAGCACAGTTGTTCAATATGGTTGTTCTAAAAAGAATGTCAAGTTAACTTTCTATAGAATAACACGTCCTTCAAAGTAACAAGTATGTTGTCAATAAATTTTAGCATCTAATTATGCTAGTTTTACAAATATTCTTGTTTTATTTGTTTTTATAAAGTATTTGTTCTTTGCTAAAACAAGATATATGTATCTACTTAATTATTTCAATCCGTCTGAAGCTTAAAGGGAGACATACTTGTGTAAATGGTAGAACCATCCTATACTTCAAAATACTAATTGCACATTCTTTTGTCTTTCTTCTAGGTAAAAATTTAGTGAGGGTTGCATCATTGCCTCAATGGAAGCTACACCACTGTCGTATATTTAATTTGTCCTACCAGCTATTTTTTCGAGCGCCATGCCGGACTCCTGAATCTCATTAAGACGAAACGTACCGTCTCAGCCTGGTACTAGTATCTACAAATAAAAAAAAAACTTTTAACATTTTACGATTAAAGATGGATAAGTTATAATTCAATAACAAAATATATGATCATACATGTTAGCATACTAGAATACTTCAAAAATTGAAATTCAAGACTGTCTAAATCTTTTCATGTTTATTTCAAAAAATCAACTTACAGTGTTATACTAGTAAGGTTTATAGGTAAACAAATTTTCAAAGACAAGTGCCTGTAAAGGAGATAAATAGAATAGTGGATTCATCCGATGATTGCCGATTAAAAGCTTTTGATGAAATAAAAACCAAATCAATATTTCTTACTTATTTACTTTTTTTGCGAATAATCCATAATAATAGTCTATTACAGTGAGAATTGTATGCAGGGGCGGATCAAGGATTTTTGAATTAGGGGGGAAAGGGGGGGGGGGGTGCGTTATTCCAGATGACCCTGGATCCGCCACTGTTACGGGAAATCCTAGTTATAATTCAAATTCAAATTCAAATTCAAATTCAAATTCAAATTCTTTATATCCTAATCACAGGGCCCTTAATTTCGCCCATTTCAAAATTTAACACGATCATTCACACTTTCATACAAATCTTTCTCACTTTGCTCGCTCTGGTTATGTTAATTAGAATATACAGTAATATTAGAACATACATAAAAGTCATCATATAAAGTATAAATCATAAAAGTTATATCCAGTGACCACACTGAAAAAGAAAAATCCATGTCAGTATACTGCACATCTATTCCGGGGGTTGTTGGAACCCCCCTTTTTTTTGGACGATCAATGCATTTGAATGGGAACATATAGTTGGAACCCCCCCCCCCCCCCCTTTTAAAAAATGGCTGGATCCGCCCCTGTCATGTGTATTGATGTGGATAGTATATCGTACCTGGGACTCCCACATCGTACACGTGACAATTATCTAGAATACATTTTAATTTCACGGAAATAAATTGTGTAAAGACTTTAAAAGATATACATAAATGGTTAAAATTTGTGTATTTATAAAATGTGTGCGGCACTGCCATATATGTAACTATGCAAAAAATCTGTATTACGACTTGTAAGATGTAACCATGGTAACCAGGGGCAAAGTAAAAAATTTTTTACAGTTTTAAGCTTGTTATTGTATCATGCTTAACATGAAACTAAAAAATTTGGCTTGATGCAACTGAACATGATGATATATTACAATTGACTTTGCATGCCGGTATTTAAAACAGAGTAATGTTATGATTACTTCCCGTTCATGTAAAGAATATAATATGTTTTACGTTTTTACATTTATTTGGTCAATACGTTTTAAATCTAATCAGCTATTGCTTTGAACGACACTTCTTTATCTTATTTACACTATTTTTCATTTGTTTAATCAATTATTTTCATTTATTACCATGTATATTATTTTAATATTTAAATATCTGAAAGCGAAAGTAGGATATTAGAATTTCCCGTTAGGTATTTAAGGCGTTCGTACATGATCATTTGTGGAGGCTTCTATGCCACTGGGGCCGCCTATTAACATGAACTAGCAAAACAAAAATTTAACTCAACTCGCAAAACTCATGCCAAACGTTTAAGTCCCCAGTGGTAAACTGGCCTCCGTTCCTTTTTTTCAGTTTTCATACCCTAAGATACTACAACACAATGCAAGCGTGGCTGATATCAGTGTTATATTATTAGCTCACCGGGGCCCTTCGGGCCCAATGTGAGCTTATGCCATCACTTGGCGTCCTTCGTCGTCCGTCGTCTGTCGTCGTCGTCTGTCGTCGTAAACTATTTCAAAAATCTTCTCCTCTGAAACTACTGGGCCAAATACCTTCAAACTTTAACTAAATGTTCCTTAGGGTATCTAGTTTATAAACTGTATCCGAAGTTTTGATCCATCGACAAACATGGCCACCATGGCTAAAAATAGAACATAGGGGTCAAATGCAGTTTTTGGCTTATATCTTAAAAACTAAAGCTTTTAGAGCAAATTTGACATGGGGTAAAATTGTTCAATTGGTCAAGATCTATCAGCCCTGAAATTTTCAGACGAATCGAACAACCCATTGTTGGGTTTCTGCCACTAAATTGGTAGTTTTAAGGAAATTTGGCAGTTTTTTGTTATCTTGAATATTATTATAGATAGATATAAACTGTAAACAGCAATAATGTTCAGCAAAGTAAGATCTACAAAATAGTTAATAAGACCATAATTGTATATTGACCCCTTAAGGAGTTATTGCCCTTTAAAGACAATTTTACACAATTTGTTCAGCAAGTTTGCTAACATTTAAAAATCTTCTCCTCTGAAACTACTGAGCCAATTACCTTCAAACTTTAAGTAAATGTTCCTTAGGG